GATTTTGGACCTTTATACGCATTCTGGTGTTTCTCCTTTGAACGCATGAACGGTGTATTAGGTAAACTATAACTATTTATTTAGGTTTAATATTCTTATTCTTAATTTATGCATAATCGTAATTTTAAATTTTAGGCGCCTTACCGAACAGCCATAGGAAAATAGAACCGGAAATTATGCGACGAATGATGGCTGATATCCACATTGATAGTATTATAAATTCTGGAGAAAATGTAAAGGGACTAGAACTTCTCAATAATCGAGCTTTTGTTGGATCCTTGGCAGAGGCTGACGAATTTTCAGCCGATGAAATGGAACGATTTTGGTTGAATTCGCGGAATATTCAACAATCAATAGTCACTGGAAGCGAGTCATTTCCAGGTGAAATGTTGGGTCCCGCCTCTGAAAATATAGTGATATCAAATTCAATGCTTGATTTACTAATCGAATACTATTTGGCGACTTATGAAACACTTGAGTTTCGAAAGCCATTCAGAGAAGGCCACGAGAATTCAAGGATCATTTCCGTCAAAATGAAACAGTTCGGTAGATGTAGAATCGATTCAGAGACATTAGGGTCAAATATGTCAGCTCGACACGTAAAGAACTCGTATGTTTTAGCCAAATTTATAACACAAGACGGTAGCGTCGATTGTTATAGGACCCCGGATATCTCCAAAACAGGTCATAAGTCACACTTTCGGCAGATTGGCCCATTTTTCAGGGCTCAAAAAATCGTTTTTTGTAAATATCTCGGCATCCAGTGGTCCAATTTTGATGAACTTTTTTTTAAAATGTAGAGCTAAATGAGGGCTACAAAATAAAAAAATGTTCATTAAAATTGAATTACTGGATGCTGAGATATTTACAAAAAACGATTTTTTGAGTTTCAGCAAAAAGGGGTGTTTTTGGCCAAAAGTCCATTATGACCTTTATATTAGATATCCGGGGTCCTATTGTTATCCTGGACAAGTTCAATTCTTTTTTTCCCACAAGGTTGACTTACCGGATGGAGAATTGGAACATAATTTGGCATTCATTCGATGGTATCAACCAGCGAATTCTCGTTATTATTTCAGTATTGAAGACGATGAAATTTGCAATGTCGAACTTTGGGGTACTAAATTTTACCCTGAAGGTCAAGATTGCATAATTCCAGTGCATAATATTCTCAGTAGATTTGTGCCAATAAAATATAAAATTTCGGATAGGAAAAATGCGAGAGAATATTTGGCCGTAAATCCTATTAATAGAAAATTTAACATTCGTTAAAAATAATAATAATAAATCTTCATTTTTGTTAGTCGAAATTTGACGGAAGTTGTTGCTTTTTATTGGATTTTACATAAATTCTTTTTTTTTGAGTTTTACATAAGTGTCACTTGTTCATAATAAATTTTGGAAACCGAGTTTTATATAATGATCAGAATTTCAGAAAATCAGAACATCAGAAGAACATCGGAAGAACTTCGGAAAAGAACTTCGGAAATCATGTGAGTCAAAATTAAGCCGAAATTAATTTCAGACAAATTTTGGCTGAAATTTATTCCGAAACTTAGCCGAAAGTCACATGTCCGAAATTTCTTATTTCGACTAGTGAATATATGTATAGGTAATAATATCGTTTGCTTAGTCACATGCTATTTTAGCCACAGTTAGAGGTTAGATTTGCGTAAAATTAATGATATTTTTTGCCAATGTCATATTTTTTATTTGCTTATTTTCACAGAATTTTTGAAAAGTCATATATTACAATTGCTTATTTTTTGAGTAAATTTGGTATTATTTAATAATGCATTATATAACATTTAACTATATAAGCGATGGTATTATACCTGTCTCTTATACACATCTAGATGTGTATAAGAGACAGTCCCNATCAGGCGATTGATCTGTCTCTTATACACATCTAGATGTGTATAAGAGACAGATCATAAATGCGAGAAAATTTGATCAAATAATTTTTGTAAAATATAATATTATAAAGTCATATGGTTAGATTGCTTATTTTTGGGCAATTTGTGAAGTCACATGTTGAGTTTGCTTATTTATCTTAATAAAAACCTTGCGTAGAGCTATTATAAAAATTTTGACCTTTCTTGTTACCTATATATATATTGCTCGGGGTCCTGTCTAAACATTTTTATTTTATTTTTTATTTTTATGTTATAGATAGACTGTCATACAAGAGATTTAAGACATTACATAATAAAATATGAATACTAATCAAAATATATAATTGTATGAAACTCCCACTTGAGAAGCTGCCCACCTTTTCAGTTATTCCTAAGACGAGAAGGCATGGCCTGCTAGTCCATAACATAGTAAGAGGTAGAAACTATACTAAGAAAGTGATATTTATATTAAAAGAAGAATAAAAATTAATAAAATTAAAAGAAAAATTATATCAGGTGAATTAATGTGAGACAGCCAAAGGCTTGAATGTAAAAAGTAAAGATGGTTATCAAACACAATATATTAAATATCGATTTATTAATTATTTAAATTGCCATGTGATTATCCAATCAACGAGTTTCTGGATATCGGGATTAGTTTTGAGATAACTGAAATTAGTTTTGGATTTTGGGATTTATTTAGGGTTTCGGAACTTGTTTAAGGTTTTGGGTGAGATTTTGATTCGTATATTCTGAAACCCGAAACTTTTGGAAATCCTCTCAGAGATTTCGGGCCTATATTTACTTCTGACACCATAAAAAAATTGTACTAATTGTTTTATTTGGTAGTTTAGGATACCCAAAATATACTATAAAATTATTGTGGCAAAAAAAGATAAAGTTAGCTTTAAGCCAAAATTTTTAATAATTATAGTATTAGCCAATTATATGCCAATCATCTGCTAATTTGACTTTGAAGCTTCAGGCGAAGCTACAGATGCTTGGACGAAACCTAAAACTTTTATAGTATATTATTTAGGTATTTAAAAATCCATGGCTAAAATAAACATGAATAATTTTTGATAATCAAAAAGTTATCATTAAATACATACTTGCAATTATTGTAAGATTAATATAAGGCTAATATTTGGTAAAATCTTCATGAATTATTATATGAATTAATTTATTAATAGTATATAAATAAAGTAAATAAAATCAAAATTTTATACATTATTATGTAGAGTTTGTAAAAAAAAATAAACTCAACAGTATTTTTTTGTGACAATATTGAACAAATGATCAGCAAAATAATCGGCAATATCATGATAATATGAGGATATCTGCCCTGTTGGAATGACTATTAATCAAAAACAGAAAATGCTCATGTACAGTCATCTTAATGATATCTATAATTATGTAGGAGTATGTGATATTATGTACTTGTAGTCATAACTGCATTGTAATTGTAGTAATTAAATATATAATTGCCATCAGGTTGATTTGTGTGATGAGATTTTATATATCCCAAATCCCTTACAAATTTTTCTTTTTTTTGAAACTGATACAACTTATTCGCATATTTGTCATACAATATTTATCTTGAAATTATTGAAACCAAATATGTCAATTTTAACTACTAATTTCCCTAACATTGAAGATGTGGAAAGATACGATACAGAAAGACTTATCAATTTTTTACGATTAAAGATCTTGAATCATGATGAGAAGAACTTCAAGATACTACGTGATCAGGATGTTGATGGTCTGGCATTTCTTCATATGACTGAAGATGTTTTTATAAAGCCTCCCTTTAACTTTAGTTATGGAAAAGCCAAAAAACTTGGCATGTTGATCGATAGTTTAAATAATCAAAGTAAGTTCTATATAATAGTTTATTTATACTTCAAGGCAGTTATTTTTGTATTATTTATTACTCATTTTTATGATTTTCCTGTATGTTATATACTCATATAATACTATATACTTAATCTTGTGCTTTTCTTCGAATATGATTATTTGTTATTCTATAGGGCTTTTAACTCTTGAAGAAGCATTATTGTGTATTCCTCCACCTGCCTTTATTAAGAAATTAACCAAGTCTATTCCGAATTTAGGTGATCATGTACCAGATGATGTTTTTCTATGGGATGACTTCTTAGAAAGTGTGAGAATGTATGAATTTACTGATAAAAAAAGATATCAAAGACCACAATTTTCTCATTCTAAGATGGGTGTTGGTGAAACGAGCATTCAAGCAATTTTTGAATTTAATATCTGCGAAGTATTAAATGAGCTTTTACCCAACTATCTTTTTTCAAGAAAAAGTACAAAAAATCCTGGTGATCCAGATTTTACTTGTTTCTTTGCTCAATCAACACTACTCTTTCCAATTGAAATCAAGCCAGAATACCTTTTAGAAATTGGAAAACTTCAATTTCCAGAATATTATAAAAAGAGAGCAGAAGCAAGAACAATGATTAAACAGATTTTTAGTTATATGATAGAAAATGAATGTCAATATGGCATTTTTTCAACATATAATATGCATTGGTTTCTGTACCGGCCAAGTAATAACCCAAAAAAGCTCTGGATTTCAGAAACCCTTGAATTAACAAGTGAATTTCCAACAGTTCTCAAGGCATATGCATACATGGTTCAAAAATTATGCTGTGATAGTGATAAATCTTATTATTCTCCTCATATTTTGAAAATTCTGGATTCAGTTACGAGAAAAGATGAAGAATTGGTTTCTAATACTAGATCTTTAAGGTCTAGGACAAAAAGCTCTTTTAACAATAGTTTAGGCTCATTATCTTTTAATACTTTGTATAAAAGTCAGATGAATAACCAGAACTTCTCCTTTTTGGATTTCAAATTTAATGATATTCTTGGCCAAGGACGAAGTGGAAAGACACTCAAATGTGAATTTCGGGGAAATACGATTGCCTTGAAGTGTACCGATCTATGGAAATATCCGCTAGATATCTTGAAAGAAATGCAAAATGAAGTTGAGATCTATCAAATTCTTGCTTCAATTCAGGAAGAATTCATTCCAAAACTAATGTGTTATGGCTACTATGGAGGCGGAATATGCTATATTATTGGTACAAGTTTTAGTGGTACTGCTTTAACTGATTATAAACATATAACAGAACGACAAAGGGTTATGTGCCTTTGTGCAATAAATGCAATTCACAGTAAAGGTGTGCTTCACAATGATATACGAGCAGAAAATATTTTGCTTAGTAACATAAATGATAATGTTTATTGGATTGACTTTGGGATGGCGAGTTATCATTGTGAAGTTAAAAAATGTTGGAAGCTGTTTGATAAAGAAAAACGTGAATTGGTTAATTTGCTTAATCAATATACTTTATTAGATAGTGTAGTAATTGTATAAGAATATTATTTAGAATTGTATAATATAATTGCATATAAGAATTTTATATCCATAGTTAGGTCATCAAGATTGCGTATTTTTGGACTAATCTTATATATATATAATATATTTACTGTACGTATTTTATGTATTTTATGAAATTATTATAATGTAATTAGTATTTGTTCTTGCAATTTATTTTTTATTAATAAAAAGAAAAAAGTGATAACACTTGCTAAATTGCAAATAAATACACCTAATAAATTGTGTTGATATTGAGTTTGTATATTATATTTCCAATTGAAATTCGTTAATACTCAAGAAAAAAATCACTTAATTATTTAGATGGAATTGCTTCTAAGAAACCTAATACAGAGGATATTGATGTTGATAAAATAGTTAAAGAACTAAAAAATTGATTGTTCTTTTAAATATTCATAATATATATAAAATCAAATGATAATTTGTGAAGGGTATTTATCCCTCCTTATTATTACTGATACTGCCATTAAAGAATTAGCTTATAATTAGAATATCTTTGTATAGATAATTGTAAATATCTTATTAATTTAAAACCTATTGTGCTACATTTCTAATATTTTATTTATAGTATATTATCATTGATTAACTCATAAAATATATATTAATTTTTTTTAATGTTGATTTTGTTGGATTGGCCTAATGATAAAAAAAATATTACATAAAAATAAAATTTTGAAAATTAGTTATTTTAAATGAAAATTTACTACCTTTGTCCTGTATGATAATATATATAAAAGTTTATTTTGAATATATTCTTTTCTAATAACTATTTAACAAATATTATTTTAGAAATCATATTAGTTTAGTAATTCAACTTTTATTGACTTACTTTGATGATTTACTCCATTCTTTATAAAATTCCCTAAATAATTGTAATATGATTAAAAAATTATTTTTTCCTATAGTGCAGATAAAAAATATTAATACCTTTGTCATCAAAATATTCTATCATAATAGCTAATGCAATTCCACAACTTCTATCAATACTATTTAATCAAAATAAATTTAATATACTTAATACAACTATTTTAAGAATTAGATATCAGTTTGCTTCAAGGAATATCTAAATCATTTACCCCTGTTTACAATGAATTAATATTCTCTTGTTTTCTTCTAATGGTTTTTTAATAAATTCTAATGCAATAGGAATATTTAAATAGAATATATTTCGTCCTTTTTTACCTTCAGGAATTGGTAATTGTAAATAATTTTTATTATAAGGAAAAGGTGGTGTATTTTCATTTGAAGTGTATGGTTCTGGTGTACAATTGATTATATAATCGAAATTCATCCAGCATTCAGGCGGAGATGCTATAATTTATCATGATACAAATAATTGTAATGAAAATTAAATAAATTAAGTTGAAAAAATTAATTTAAATTACCACTCTTATAATTTCCTATTGCGATATTCGTGTTTCCTACAAAATTAAATGAATCATTTGACAATTCAGAATTGTGTAATTTTAATAATCTTTCTTGTTGAATGAATTGCGAAACAATCTTTTCGCATTCAATAAAATTATATGTATTCAATATTTCTTCATGATATTTCCAAAATAAAGGAGGAATCAATCCCTAACCATATTATAAGTAATTATAATATTTTGTCAGTTCGCCAATTATCCGGAAAGAAAAAAAAAAAATTTTTTTTTTAGAATAGAGCTGCAGCGTTATTATTACCTTTGCCCACATTTCATGATCATCAGCTGATCCTTGTACATAGAGGAATCCTTTTCTTCTTTCAACTCCTGATTCGACCATTTTTGATGCACTTAAACAAATTACTGGATAAAATGGCATACTAGTATAATCTGGCAAATTATGAAGAAATATATTTGATGACGGAGTAAACCAAAGTGGCCTGAGGGGTTTTTTTAATTTGTTCGAAAGAGATTGAATATCAAATCCTGAATTCTAATAAATCGCGATATTAATTTCCCGGTAAAATTATTTTATAAAATATTAGTAGTAAAGAAGTTTAATGACTTACAAGAAGTTTTTGAACAAATTGAGGAATTAATGAAGCAATCTGATTATGTTCAGATTTGGAAATTAAAGATGGGAGAGAATGAAATTCCGTATCCCATTCATCATCAAGTTCATCATTCCGTGTAAGATACGCTTCTCCATTAGGCTGTTGAATTGATTCGGGAGGTTTATGTAGTTTAGACACTTTTGAGTCAAGTGTAATAGAATCGCGAAATTTCTTGACTGCATTATTAATAGTACAACACCAAATTGGAATTGTCTTTGATTGAGAATCAGGAATTCGTTTTCCACGACGCGTCGAATCTACTATTATACACCTTTAACAAGCAATTGCGTATTCAATTGATTAATATTTTTTATTAATTCACGCAAATCGTAATTGATGAAAAAGAACATACCCACCATGTTTTATGATTATACTAAAAAGATGAGCGTTTAATCTGCGTAGATTAAATGCCCATTTTCCGGTATGCCCATCGGTTGATTTGAAATAGACTGTCTGTGTACCAAACTTTAGCACGACGCAACATACAGGGAAATTAATGTCATAATTTATGTACCCAATTACGGTTTCTTGTAATGTTGACAATTAATAAAATCATCTTATGATGAAGTTTTTTGCTCCAGGATTCAATAGAAGTGAAAATTTACCTTCGTAGGGTCAACATACCAAGTACCGCATCTTTCATTTGCTGAGATTAAATTCGGAAAGTCAGCAATGATGAAATTATATTTTAGAAGAGAACAACGTAATTAATTACCTATTACAGGTAAGTATGGTAATAAATTTGATATTTCACTCACGAACTTTGCATCTTCGAAAATTGATTTTAATCTATTAAATCTAAAATAATAATAAAATAATAATTGATGCAACTATTTTTAAACAAATTAAATAAAATAGAATTATTAAAATAACGATAACTTGCATATTTTTTGAATCTTTGCGAATTTGTTCTGTATCACTATGTACATTTGATCCTATTATATTTATTATATTCGTAATTTTATCAACGTCATTATTTGAATTATTAGCGTTTGTTAGCAGCATAATTATTTTTTTGAACGAAAACGAAAGTAGAATTCGGCCTGATTTAAATTACAAATTACGTCACATTTTATGCATGTGAGCAAAAACCGAAAGGTACTTGCATTTATGGTGATTTTTATAATTTATTCTTATTTATACTTATTACATTGGTATTAAAAGTAAGTATATTATATTTAAAAGTGAGTTGATCTTTGGATGAGTTCAAGTAATATACTGCATTGCGAGAATTGCATAAATTACTAGATAATAGCGATTATTATTGTTATATATGTAACTTACTAGTCAATGCATGTATTTGAACTTAGATATCATCTTTACTTTGTACAATAAATCAAAACAAATGTTATAATTTGATGTGATCAATATTGTTATTCATTTGAACTTTAAAACGGGTTATAAACAAACAAGATCATTATCGTTAAAAAAAAAAAAAATTTTTTTTTCATTGAAAGAATTCCGATCTTTTTTTCGTTGCCGATAACCTGCCGGCAACAATCCGACTGCAAATTTTCTGAGTGTCCCGCTTGTTATTATGTACCACCCGGCTGAGATTTTTGTAGAAAATGTACTTTTTCATATACCATTCCTTTGCTGTATCTGCAGATTTTTACATTTATGATTCTCCATAGATCTCAAATCGAAAATTATGAAATAAATGGATGGATGGATTGAGACGAATGTTCATTTATGTTTAATTAAAATATTTAAATTATTTTCAGTATAATATTAATAATTCTAAAATTTTTTGATATGAAATAATCTTATTCAGGGTATTTTCTTATTATGGTTTATCTATAAATATTTCATTATTATGCGTAAATTTTTTTCTTAATAAAATCATCATTATCGATCTTAAGCTTGGACATATAATTCAAAATTATCCCTATTTATAATTCGAAACATGCAAAAAACACACAAAAGAACACTACTCATCAATATATTATAAATATCAAGCAAATAATACAAAAAGATCAGTGTAAAGGACAATATTCCGAAGATAAAAAAACCCTAGATCAAATAAAACATCAATTAAAACAAGATAATGAAACAGGTTAGACTTTCATTGTTCACGCATCGTTTAGGTGCGAATAAAGCCTAGAAAAAATTTTTGAAAGTGACGTTAATTTCTTTACTCCTTTTTGTTCGTTTGGCCATTCCGTTCCCGTTTCACTTCTTTTTCTTTCTCATCATCATCGTCATCATCGTCATCGTCATCATCATCTTCACTTTCAGCTTTCTTTTTTCTTTTTCCTGGACGTTCAACATCCAAAAGTCTGGCATCTTTCTCTACAATTAAACTCCTTAACCATTTAATTTCCATTTCAAGTTCCTTCACGCGGCCTTCAAACATTTCGGCTTTAGCAGTCATTTCTCTTGCGGTTCTTTCAAGTGCTTGTTCACGCATTTTTTTCTTTACACGAAATCTAGCAGATGCGGCAGTATTTCTCCTCCTTTTATCTTCTTCAGCAGCTAACTTTGCGGCATGGTCAGCATCTTTTTCACCTTCTTTTGTTTCAGTAGATCCACTTTGTGTCGTTTCTGAAGTAGATGAATGATTTGATTTTGCTGATGAATTCTTACGATTTGGGCCACTTGTAGATGAAGGAGTAGTGTTAGTAGAAGTGGTGGTTTTGGTAGTAGCTTTTGTAGAGACTGTGGATGTAGAGTCTGTTGTGATCTTTGTAGTAGTAGGTGTTGAGTTTGGGGAATTTTCTTGTGTTTCTTTTGATAAAATTACCGAATTATTAGAAACGTTTGATGAGACGTTAACTGGAGCTATAGGAGTAGCTGGAAATATAGGCGTAAAATTATCGTTAGAGGAAGTTGCAATTGTAATAGGCTGCAAACGATTCGGTACGAGTGAGTTCGGAGTTGGAAAGAATAACGGATAATGTAAAGTTTGTTGTGTTTGCGTTTGGTCAGTAAGGGTAGTAAGTTCGTGTTGAACCATCATAGGCTGAGTAACATTTTGATCAAGTTTCGTATCAATAGTTGAAAACTCATCATCTAACAAGCTCATTCCAGGTGAAACTTCAATAAATTGAGTATTAGACCAGAATTCTAATTCTCTGGCTAGATCCTCATCGGACATTTCAGGTGCTGTGACTGGATTTAGAGAGTTTAGTTGAGCGATGTAATTATAGTTATAATTCGAAGACATTGTTGAACTTTTTAATATTAATGATCCGTTTTAGTTAAGTTGGCCGCTCCAGGTCTCGAGCGATTAAGAAAGAAAAAGTCGACAAAATAACTTTTAAAAACGGAATGAAAAAATCTTTCTAAAGGCTGACTAATTCAATCATAATTTGTAATAGTGTTTTATTATTTTATTGTTTCACAATTAAATGTTTAGGAAATAGATGAATGTGTATAAAATTTCACTAGCCTTTTTTAAAAATATTATCCGAAAAAAAAACCCGGAATATCAGGTACAATCAGTATTACAGTCTGCGTAAAATTTCATGTAAAAATGTTATCATTTATTAGTAATTTGATTCGTCGATAACTCTAATTTTTTTTTTTTAGAGATTTGAGATGTGAAGAATGACATCGTTAAAGATACCATTAAACTTTATTCGAGTTTTACGAAATGTAAGATAATTTCTTTTTGGTTTAATTGCTACTGATGAAAAAATTTTTTTTTTTCAGGATCAGCGAGCTGCGCCAGCCATACTGGAAACACGTTACCGTTATTTACATAAACATATGAACTTCATTTATTGGGATTCATTACTGTAATAAAATTCAAACTAATTCATACTAAATTATTGTTGTGAAAAGATTTTGATCTACCAGAAATTTCCCCGATTTAATCAAGCAAAAATAAGCAAACAAATCAAAGAATTTTCCGAATTGCTTTCGTTCACTTTTCCATTTTTCATTATGTTTCAATTTTCATTCCTGTATTCTTCTCGTCGTTCTGTTCCTACATTTTTCAAATCATATAGTGCAAGCCACAAAAGCAGTTTTAAATTCAATCATCCATTAAAATCTTCTTCTAAACCTTTTTCTACTGGTTCCCATTTTACTTCAACCAGTAAAGAATTGCCGGAAAAAGAATTACGTGTAAAGGCTATTTTTTTAGCTTTTATTCCTATATTAACCTTTGGTTTGGGTACTTGGCAAGTTGCACGTTTGCGTTGGAAAGTTAAATTAATCGAAGATTATGATGATCGATTATCTAAACCACCAATTAATTTACCCAAAAGAATAAAGTAAAGTGTTTTTATATTGAAATCCAAAATACACTTAAACAACAACTAAAGTTGTTTTTTTTAGGTTAGATGTTTTGAAAGATTATTTATATAGACGCGTTAAAACTTCAGGAAAATTCCTTCATGATCAAGAACTTTATTTAGGCCCGAGAACATTTAAAAATAAACTGGGTTATTACGTTATTACGCCGCTTGAACGTGAAAACGGGTGGATATTTATTCTCTACTAAGATTACGTATAAATAAAATTATATGACCCATACATACCTTTAATTTTATTTCTTAATAGTACTACAATTTTAGTTAAAAGAGGATGGATTCCGAGAGAAAAAATTGATCCATCAACGAGACCAGTTGGACAAGTATATTTGAGTTTTTCTTGATTCTTTTTAATTGGATATCATTTCAGGTTATATATTTAGTCAATTTAAGAAAATTATTAGATCCAGGGCAAAGTATCCGTTGAAGGATTGTTAAAAGGTTCAGAAAAGGTAAAATAAAATAAACTCTACAACATTTTAAAAAAATATAAATAAGTTTTTTTTTTATTATAATTATTAAATAAATAAAAATACATAATAGAAAACGTGGTTCGTCCCAGAAAATAATCCAGAAAAAAACCAATGGTACTGGTTAGATGTTGATACTATGGCTCAAATAACGGGATCTCAGCCGATACTAGTAGAACAAAATTTGGGTACGATTCGAATATTTTCCAATTGTTAGATAAAATTCATTCTTTTTCTGATTAATGATTTGTAATTAAAGAAGGATCCCCCTTCATAATAAATCAAATGATTCAAGACGGTATCCCAGTTGGAAAAATTCCTAGTGTGGAATTAAGTAATACGCACTTACAATACGCAATCACATGGTATAATATTTCTTCTATAATATTTATCCAGCTAAGATAATGCATACACTTTTTTTTGGCAAATGTTCAATTTGCTATTTTCTTTTTTTTCTCTGTTTTCTCTTTCTTTTTTTTTTTTTCTTTTTTTTATAGAGTAAAATTAACTTAAGATTCTTTCTATTCAGGTATACGCTATCCGCAGCCACAAGTATTATGCTATATATCCTCTTAAAAAAACCTCCAGCCGGACAAGTTAAACGCCAAGTAATAAAAAGATAAAAAAGAAAACACGAATATACAAAATCATAGAATTTGCTTTTTCAATTGAGTATGTGAATAGCATACACATACCTACATAATCGTGCATTTCTTTTCCGGATCGTTATCGTTATCGATATCGTCTTTCCGGTAATTTGATGATCTACGGGAAATTGACCATTAGTTTATTGTAATTTTTTTTTAAATTAATAATCATTATTTACCTATCCATCGTCATACTTCTGTTCCCTGAAGATGGAGCTGACGGAAGTCGAGGATCTGATCTTTTTAACTGTAATAAAAAAAATTCTTAGATATATTAAACTTATTTAATACCATTTTATTTAATGTACTTACTCTTTCATCAATTACTGTTTGACCATACGGATCAAACGCTATTTTGGGAATAATAATACAGTTAAATTTAAAAAATGTAGAAGATATCTATTTATATAATAAAAGTATACAAACGTGTTTGGATCGAAGTCGCATTTTTTTTAGTCTCCACTTTTACTGCACATTTAGATGAAGTATCAACAGAAATCGTTGACGTAACACTAGTTGAAAGTCTAGATGTCACAGTAGGTGGCAATTCTGTGTGATCCATAGTGTCAAATTCTACTCCATTCGTTCCTAAAAAAAATTTTGGAATAAATTGCCTTGTTTATATAACATAGAATTTCTTTGAAGTTATAATCAAAATACCAGCTTTTTCAGAAATATCATCTAGAGATAGAAGATTGTTAGTACATTTTTGAAATTAAAATAGTAATGACAAATTAACAATAATTAATAATTTTATTTTACCTGATTTCATCAATTTAGCCTTTTTATTTTTCTTCCTCGGTTTTTTTGGAGCACTTCCTTGGCTAGTTTGCACTACTTTACAGAAGGATTTTATACAATTATTTTTTTTTTCAAAAATTTAATACTTACTGAAATATAAAACATTCAATTCGTTATAGCAACGATACCTTGTTTTGCTTTGTTGTTATGGGTGATCGTTGTAGTATGTTCATCATTACGAGATGATTCAGTCATTACGGGTTCCGCTTGTTCCACACCGTCTTCTTCATCCATATCATTCATCCGACGTTTTTTTGAACTTTTAGAAACTTCAACTATTTCACGTCCTTTTCCTTTAAAGTTACTTTTCCTTACAGGCTCCATTTCATGTTCTTTTCTCTCAGAGCTACTCATGAGTTCATTTTCCTTAGTTTTCGTAGTCCTTTGTTCCACAGGAGTAAATAAAATTTCAGTAGGAGATTGTTGTATATTTGATTGTGGTGTATCTGAAGTTGATTTATTTAAATAATTAATAGACTTGGGGACTGGTAATGAAAACGAGAGAGACGATGTAATTTTGAAAGCTTTTTTCTTCAAGTCTTCATCTAGAACAATAGGCTAAAGGAATAATAATTTAAGCATTTTAAGTGTATAATATTAAAGGAAAATATGTGTATATTCAATAATAAAATAAAACCTCGTCTAGACAGTTCCCAAATAATATCGATGTTTTTGATTTGTATTTAGAAATATCTTTAACATGCGGAGTCTCTAATAATGAATCATCCCTTTCTAATTTATTATCTAAACAAATAGCAATGCATTTTTTGAATAGTGGAGCGAAAAACAAACGAAATTATTTAATAGCATACTATTCCTATTTGTACCTATAGATTCATTCGAATCCACTTCCATATCCTCAGTAATTGTATTATTTTCTGCGGATTTAGATTGAACAAGCGACGTTGAAGGCATTGTTGCATCGCTTTTTGTATCTTTAATTAATCTCGACAATTCAAGAATATTCATTCTAACGAGCGAAGGAACACCGGTTTTGAAACAAGCAGAAATTTCTTTAGGATCATCCGGCATTTTTTCAGACATCGCAATGAGCATTTCATTTGGTAACACATAACTAAAAAAGATAGGTAGATAAATTTAGACTACTGTGAGGTGAAAAGTGTATTGTATTCATGTTACTCACCCAGTGCTCTCATCTTCCTCTCTTGCAATTCGATCTCGCCAAGCATGAAGAGCTTTGAAAACTGCAAACTATAAAATAAATAAATAAATTATAATTTTTAACTAAAAATAACTAAAGGTTTAAAATATATATATACAAACTTACTTGTTGATAATCGAACGATGTTTTCCATTTTGCTTGCAATCTCATATAACCACCAGGTCCTTCACCATCTTCATCATAAACAATTTTTTTATATGTTTTCAGTGAAGTCTCAGCAGATCGTTCAAGCGTTACTCTCAAAAGATTTTCGGACTTGGCAATTAGCTCATTTCTCATTCTGTCGCATATATACAGTAAATAGTGTGTATCCGAGCGAGCATAATATAACATTTCCGATGGGATAGGCCTAGTTAAACCAAATTTTTAATAAAGCATTTTATAAAAGATATAACAATCTCACATAACAAAGTTCTTTATCATACCTTATCCTCCAATCCGCCAATTGATATTTTTTATCTGCTTCAACTTCACAATAATGTTTCAGAAGATACGCTAATGATTTTTGAGGAAGTTCTATTTTAAATGAAAGAAAAATAGTTAATAAAGATCAAATATACAATATCTGCTTAAAAATATTTACCCAAAAGAGTGGCAGCATGAAACGTGTCAAATAAGTTGACAATATAAACACCAAAATCCTTTTGTAGCCAAATAATATCGAATTCGGCACCATGAAATACCTAAATAATATTGCAAACCGGAAAAGAAATTTTAGATAAAAATTTTTTTTACTAATATAATTATTCGTCTACGAAAATTACCTTTACGATATTTGGGTTAGTAAAGTACTGATTCAATATTTGTAAAGAATTTCTTAAAGCTAATGCATCCACGATAAAATCATCATCTCTTGTACTTATTTGTAATAAACAAGTAAACCCTTGATATGAACGATAATCGTGGTGCTAAAACAAAACAGAAAATCCGTGTTAGCAAAACAATTAATAAAAGAAAATTTATCGAAAGAAATTTCTCTACCTCTAAATCGATCGCAATCTCGTTATTATTCTCCAATTTTTCGCACATTGCCTTTAAATCTTCCAAAGTTTCCACCCAAATATGAGATGAGTCCATGATAGGACTATATGGTATTGGTTCCTTATCCTCAAGCATGAAAGCTGGATAAATGATATTTTTAATCTCATACTCATAAGGGTGTGGATAGCTAGAATAAACGCATACGATTTAGTAATAGAATAAAATTTTGTAATATCACTTTATTATATTAGTATGCTTACAATAATATATCTTTATTTTCCCTAACATTTATTTCCCATGGAACTAATGCATTCGGTTTCTCAACAAGCTTTGGAATAAAGGGCGCAGAGGAATTGTCAACTTTATCCTTAAACTTCAATTGAGGACGACCAATAGCATTACCATATAGAAATCGAAAGTCTCTTGACTAAATCATCGATGATTAGTTAATCGAATATTTCTTAAATGGAACTAACGATTACACTTACGTTCGAGATTTCTGCAATAACTGGTTTTGATTTATTTACTGTAGCCGAGATTTTTTTACTTCGACCACTGAATTCATCCAACGAAACGTTCTAAACAGCAATGTAAAATGAAAATAACTAATTAAACCTAAAACGTTAATAAATAAAGTAAAGAACTAATACTTACGACTCCGTCAATAAGGGAATCAACTAAAGAGACAAAGTCTTTACTCCAAGAATCAACATCTTCAGCTTCGGTAATTTCACAAAATCCTTCAGAGCCGGGTAAATCAGCATTAGAGATCATTTGATTGATTTTTGGTAAAATTCTTCCTGAAAGTTGATCCATTTTGCGTGCCGCCGTTGAATCAATCATTCGATAAAACGGTACTTCTTTGGAGGGCAATTCATTATTGCGTTTTGCGCTTATATTTAATAATGCCCTGTAAAGAAGTTTTTGGTAACGTTCAAAAGTAGTGGAATCAATTTTTTCAGGAATCGCGAACTCTGAACTGGCCATTTATTGCTGTTTATAGTGGAGGAAAAAAAAAAGCAGTTAATTGCTGGAATTGCATTGGTTACTAATAAATCCCGAGATGTGTGATTTAATACAGCCAATCATAATGGTTCGTTGAAACTATTTTTGTGATCAAAGATTAAATTTTTTTTGTTCTCCCTCCAAAAAGGTCTCGATTTTACGAGGTTCAGTTTAATTTCTTGAGTACTAATAACTTCATATCGATGCCAAATAAAATTGTAAGTAAAAGTTTTAATTCAAATGAAATAAGAATCTTTAAACTATAATAATTATTAAACAAATTATTTTTCTATAAAAAAAAAAATGTTGATAGACAAAAGGTGGTTCGGCGAAAACCAGCAAAAAAGTGCCACAGAAGCAAAAATATATTATTGATGCTTCAGGTCCTTCCCGTGACAAAATTTTTGACTCTGCAGCTTTTGTATGTATTTTAATAATTCGCATCAATTTTAAATGTTTTATAGTTTAATTTTGATTTAACTTTCATATCAAGGAAAAATTTCTTCACGATAAAGTAAAAATTAATGGTCGTCCGGGTCAATTAGGAGATATCGTTACCATATCTCGTAGCGATGATCATAAAATTACAATTACCACTAGTACTCATGTTTTTTCTAAGCGTTATATGAAATATCTCACCAAGAAATTTATGAAACAACACCGCATTCGAGATTGGTTACGCGTAGTTGCTACAGATCCGGTAAGTCGTCATGTTTGAAATCTCTTTTTTATAACCTTTTTTTTTATTAATTATTTTAATTGTTATATGCAATATAGCAATCTTATGAAATAAGATACTTTAACATTAGCAATGAGGCTGAAGAAGAAGAGGAAGAATAAATAAATAATTAGATTTTTTTTTTTCCAAAAATGATTATTTTAAAGTTAACTAAATTAAATTGAGAATAATTCCATTTTTCTCTTCATTAATATACAATATAATTAATACCAAAAACAAAAAAATGTCAGGAGATTTTTCATTTCATTTGATGTTTATTCTTAGTTCGAAGTTTTCTAAATGCGACCATCCAAGAATGCGATAAAATTGATGTAATTAGAGTCTCTTGGTAGATTGTAATGCTACAATGACGCTTAACTGGTTATAAGATATCAATTAAGGTTTATAAATCTTCTCCAGTATCATCGTCATCGAATAATTTTTTTTTATGTAAGTGAACCTCACACAATAGCGAAATTTTATGTCTAAGATCCATCACGTGATACTATACGTCAATACGTTTGTGTTGATCTAAAAAATTTAGCTGATAATCTCCTTTTACGAAGTTTTCCAGGGTTTACTTTTCAATATGCAATGTTTAGCTTATCTTTCAAAAAGTTTTTCAAATTTGACCAAAGCTTCGCTATGTAAACCAACATTAAAGGGCTCCATATTTTCCGCCTATCGATGTTCGAAGCATGTTAGTCTCAGTTTAGAGTTTTGGAATTATTTTATGCTAATTTAAAATAAACCGTACTTCTCAAATTTCTAATAGATGTCAAGTTTGAACCTTCAAACTGTATCAGGAGATCCACCGCAGGTAACCTTCTAGTTTGCTCAATTACAATGATTATCGTTAATCCTTTAAGCTTTAATAGGCAGATGTCCTTCATAAGAGAAAATTTGGAAGTCGTGTTTTCATATTAAATCGCCCTAATGTTCTAAACGCACTGGACCTGAGCATGATTAGAAATATGACACCACAATTGCAGGTAAATTATTTGAATTTGTAACATCATAATATCACAATTAATTGACATTGATTCAATATAGGCTTGGAATGAATCTGATTTATGTAAAGTCATTATTCTTAAAGCCAATGGGAAAAAGGCGTTTTGTGCTGGTGGTGATGTAAAACGTAAGTATGTACATTTTTATTTTTTACTTTTCATAAAATTAAATGAACCCTTAATTTTTAATACAGGAGTTGTAGAATTAGCAAATAGGAAGAAGAATGGTGAAGTTGGTGTCAGGCCTCTTCGATTTTTTGAAGAAGAATTTCAGCTTAATCACCTCATCGCTACGTTAGATAAACCATTTGTTGCTTTTATGGATGGCATTACCAGTATGTCTTATTTGCTATGAAATTAACATGAAAATTGTGATTTAAGTTCTAATACTAAAACATTCACAGATTTTTTATTTCTTTTATTTGATCACAATTAACAAGTGGGAGGTGGTGTTGGTTTATCAGTTCATGCACCATTTCGCATTGCTACTGAAAATACAATATTTGCCATGCCAGAGGTAAACATTGGTTATTTTCCTGATGTTGGCGGATCCTTCTTTTTATCAAGAATGGATGGAGAAGTTGGAACTTATCTAGCATTGACTGGTTCAAGGCTACGTGGCGTAGATGTCTTGTATGTATTGTTGGTTTTTAAATTATACTAGAAAATTATAATTCTCATGAATTCTTTTAGCTTATCTGGAATTGCGACACATTATGTTCCTTCACAACGGTTATCATATTTGGAAGATCGTTTGAGTGAATTAGAAAGTGATGATCATGAGGTGATAAATGCAGCCATAGAAGATTTTGTATCAGAACCCCAACAAAATCATGTCTATTCCCTTGGTGGTGACATTAGAAAAGCAATTGATCGGTATGGGAATCTTCATGATTTTTTTTAGTTACAATAAACATTATAAGTGACAAAATAATTTTTAAATTTAGATGCTTTAAAGGTAATACACTTGAGAGTATTATCGATGCGTTGACCAAAGAAGAAAATGAAAAGTGGTCGAAGGAAGTAATAAATACTATGTTGAAAATGTCACCTACAAGTTTAAAAGTAGGTTTCTTGGGCTATTTTTATTTAGCCATTATTCTTTGATCTGGAATTTAAATTTTAACGTTACCCATAATAGGTTACTTTACGTGAATTACGAAAGGGAAAACAAATAGTCATAACTGATTGCTTTAAGATGGAATATAAACTAGTTCAAAAATTTTTGGTAAGTTCAACTTTATATGTAAGTCAAGACATTACAAACAATATGATTAAACTTTTATAATAAACAGGAAAAGTCAGATTTCATTGAAGGGGTAACGGCGCTACTTGTTGATAAAAGAGAACCAAAATGGAATCCTTCAAAATTAGATGATATTTCTGATGATGAAATAGAGAAATTTTATTTTGAAGGTTCAGAAAAACATCAGTTAAATTTATTAAATATACGGTCTTTTGAAAATTATCCGTATTCTAGGTTTGCATTACCAACTGAAGAAGAAATTCAAAAAGTTGTTACAGGTGAAACACCGGATGCAGGATCGGTGAGTATGACTCAACAAGAGGTCGTTGATTTTTTTCTTAAAGATCGAAAGGCCAAAATAGGAGTTCGAGAAAAAGTATTGGAAGTTTTAAATAGAAAAACTACTCAGATTGATGGTCAAGAAGGGTTGAAATGGGTTAATGACATTAAAATAAAATAATTCATACATAGATTAATAAATATGATATTATTGAAATAAGGTGATTTTTTCAATGACAACAGCATAATAATTATATTATAAATTTGTTATCAATAAAAAATTATGTTTAAAAATAATTATTTACTATAAATTATGAATAATCGGTTTTATTTTTACGCAAGGTTTTTTTTAATATAATGATTGTCGTTTTATAAATTAGCTGGACCTTTACGTCCTTCAATATCTCTTTGTCTTCTTACGAGATAATTTAGTTTTTCCATAACCTACAAATAAACAAGCAAGCGTATTAATATTATTATTATATAATTTTATAAATTCTTATATTTCATTATTTCTCATACTTCTTCTAATTTCCGTTTTCTCTCTTGCAATTCTAAATGTTTCCTGATGTGAGGATTTTCTTTTGCGAAAGTTAATATTTGTTTCCTGTCCAAATCATAAACAAGTCGGTTGTCTACTTCTCTAGGGAACTGAAAGAAGAATTCATTTAATAATTCAACCTGAATAAACATTACGGCGGTATAGGTGAGTTTTTCGGCAACCATATTTAGAAATGCTTCTGGACAATATTGTTTACTCTCGGGTGATTTACATTGCCGTGACTTTAGGGCTGCTAAACGATATTTAAGTATCATTGAACGATCACGAAGAAATATAGCTTCGCGAGCCCTTTCAAGTACTTTAGGATTAAAATGAAGACGAGTATGTTCTACATCACCCTCTTCCGTTACATCATTTACAGAAGATATCAATGCGGCAAGTGGTATAGTATGAGTACTAGCTTCACTGTTGGCTTCGCCTATATCTTTAATCCGAGCCTGAACACGTTTAGCTTCTTCTTTTTCAGCATCCAATACGTATTTAATAGCAGCTCTAAGCTTCTTTTTCCCAATGGTATTCCTAATATGCCGTAAAGCTTTATCACAGCTTTCCAATTCTTTTTCTAAGAGTATTATTGATCGTTTAACTCCGTCAGCCCACTCTTGTTCACTGCACTCAACTTCATATTTATAAGGCTTAACACAATTTTCAACTTGATCAGCAGTTGTATGAAATTTGTTTCGCAAAATTTCATTACTGAAATTTAACACTTTACTACTGGTGTCAGGATGGTTATTTAATGGCTCCATTGAAGCCAATTTTTCCATATTAGCCATTAGCACATCCACGACTAGCTGAGTACTCGTTCGACCTATACCACTCTTAGTAAGTGCAGCCGAACTCATATCAAGTTTATATTGCCAATAAAGATCATCCGCAGATGCTTTTGTTAAATCGACAATTTTACTATCTGTCCAATATAATTCAGCACAGAGATCTAATACTCTTTGTTCCAGCATAGTTCTAACCTCATGCCTAACTTGTGGTTTTCCAAATGAATGAGCAAAGTCTTTAAAATTATGTTTTATAGAATCTATTGTCTCCGCAACATATGATTCAGCGGTAATCCGCCTAAGTTGAGAAATATAAAAGAATGATAAGTCAATTTATAAGATTAAATAAATTCAATTTTGTAACTCACTAACCTATCATTATATTGTACTTTAAATTGGTATCGGGCTTCTTCCAATTCTAATTGGACAGCTCCAACAATTGAAAATAATGACTTAGCCATACTTTCTTCCAACACTTCCATGAGCTTTCTGCGCAAAGTTCCTGTACCAACTTGAATACCACGCTGACTGTACACATAGTTACTACGAAAGAATTGCTCTTCATGGCGCATCAAAGCCGAAGTAATGTTTTTTTGATTGTTCCTATTTGTTGGAGGTTTACAGACCACACCAATATAACCCAAATGCAGAGGATAATCGGTATTGCGTAATATAGCAGAACCAATTTCAGGTTCTACCAAGTCCATTTTAGTTATAACTCCAATTGTTCGTAAACCCAATGGATCCACTTTCCGACTAGCTTTTAATGCTTCAGAATTTGCCAAATCAACATCAGCAGCGCAGACCGCTAATATAATATTTGGTTCTCTAATATACTGTTCACATAATTCAACAATTTTATCCTTTAATGTTTCAGGTTGATTTTTATTCGTAACTTGAATATAGCCTGGCAAATCAATAAGCGTTAAATCAGGTACATTTGGAGAATAAATACGTAGCTCAATAGATTTATTGGAAACACATTCAGACTCTGATACAGCAAGATTTAAGTCACGTAATGTTTGTTGTATATGAGAAAAATCATGGATTTTCCCTAAACCAAGCTGAGGAAATTCACCGTATTCCTCCTTAGATTTTGGTGTGTGAATCAATGTTAATTCAATAGGCCTTCGTGTTACCATATTCGATCCCCTATGTAAATGTGAATTATTAGGAATAAATAATAAAGGATGATATTAATTAACCTGTTCCTTACTTTGGTAAGAATTCATGTCCGACAATTGCTTCTAATACGGAGCTTTTGCCAGAACTCTGGCTGCCTATGACTACAATGCTTGGTAGCCTCAATGCCTCATTATGATCAATGCTCATCAGAATATTGCGCACCTCTATCAATTTTTTAGTTAAAAGCATAAATTGATTATCTTGCGCAGGGATACTTTTATCAGATGCATTCCTAACATCTTCATCTTCTTGTTCGTTCATACTAAATAAAGTAGCTGCTCCTACTGTAGCAGCAGCAGCAGTAGCACCAGTTCCACCTCCTGAAGAATCAGAAGAATTATTGTTTTCATCTTCCTTTTTAATGAATCTAGGTCTATCAGATTCCATCTGTATCGAACTTGATGTTACAGATGGGCCTGATTTAGAAGAAAAAATATTTGCTAAAAATTCCGGAACATGTATTTCTACACTTCCTACAGCCGATTTAATTCCATTAGTGATGGAAGAAAGTAAATCCGAACTTTTACTTGCCATATCTAATTATTTCAATAACAAATAAATATTTATTTAAATAATTCGCGTCTTTATAACATGAAATGTCTTACCATTAAGTTTGTAATTAGCGTATGCCAAACCTCCAACTCCCACTGTTACACCCGCGGCAGGAATCCTCAATGCATGCAGAACGAATCTTGAAACTGAAATAATTGAAATCGTTCTAGTTTGAGAACCCACCACTATTAAATATTGATTTTGGGCATTATAAAAAGTAGGCCGGTGATGACCGTAACTTAGAAGTGAGGTAACATTTGACGAGGGATTTATAATGCGATGCAACTGTCGCCTTTGCAAGTTAGTTGGAAAGCTACCAAAGCGAATTGCCGAGGATCGGTAAGATCTAGAAGAATTTGGCGTTATAATAGTACTTAAGATACGTGGACTATTAACCACTCGTCTTAAAATCTGGGAAACCATGAAATTGTTTGAACTAAGGAAAGGAAATGGTTAAAAGGACGAACGCGAAATAAAATGAAAATTTTTTTTTCAGTCGTTAATCTGGGCCTGTAGCCTAATTTGGATAAGATTTCTTATTACCATATATGGTAAATCTTCATTTCTTGATATACAGTATATCTTTGTGCGCTATTTAACAGCGCGCGTAAGTTCTTCCGCATTCTAGTTTCCAGTTACATCAATTACATTATTTTAATATGGTTATGCAATTTCAACCCGATCCTTCAAATTTCCAAATTGATAAAATCCATGAGAATTATACGCGTATACTTTGGTTTTAAAAGTATTTGAATAAAATTCTTAGAAATTTTCCAGAGAACAAGAAGCCACCACAAAGAAAAAGAACATTATTATGATCTTGACCATAAATGATTGATGAAAGTAATCGATGTCTTATGGCCAATGATTCTCTATTGATGTGAAATAACGTAGTTTTATTTTAAAATACTAGAGCAATGTCGAAATTATCTCATCAGGTTGTAGAGGTTGTAGAATTGAAATCGGAATAAAGGGTTAATGGTATACTGTAGTGGACAGTGTGTAAATAATCCATCCTTATTTTAAGTTATTTAATAATAATGTTTATTATTTTATAAAATTTATACAATAAAAGATAATTATGTATCGTGTAATTTGGAATTGATCGGACATGGTTACATCAATTGAGTCAACATAAAATGTTGAATCATGTGATTTTTATAAATTCCCATTTCACTCTGCTCTTACGATAAAACAAAAAAAAACAATCTTGAATATATAGAGTTTTTTTCGCTTAATAAAAAAAAAAATGGTAAGGTTTAATATTTGTTGAAATTATCAATTTTCCAGCTTCCTAAAGTTTAACATTTATCTTACTACAGAATTCGTTAAAATCCACCCAAAAAGAAAAGGTCAGACAATTTATGGCATTTACAAGCGCCAGGTAATGTTGTATTGAAACTATATGTTTGATCAATATTCTTTTTTTTTGTTCATTCGATCCTAAATAACTTTTTGTTTCAGTGAAAGAGTTTCCATCCGAAAACTTAAAGAATGCAACTGGAACGTCGAGGTAGCAGTAGACGCTTTTTTCAATGACCAATCTAGTGGTGGTAACGCTTGGAGAGCTTTCAATACAACTAACTCAGCAGGTGTTGACACTTATAAACTTAATCAAATCTTTTCTAAATATAAAGGTGTGTTACTATTTCTTTTATTAACGTGTAACTCATTGTCAAATAATCATCACACTAAAAAGGATTGATCTATTAGAGATTCATTAATTCTTCGTAAAGATTTGCTCCTTCTTTAAAATGGATCGTATTTTCGTTCAATGATATAAATTTTTAATTGGTTCGACTTTCTTTTGTATGAATAGATAAAGATGAAGATGCTATTCTAGTTGATGGAATATTAGAATATTGTAACGATCTTGGCGTTGCTCCCGAAGATGTTGTAATGTTAGTTTTATCTTGGAATCTCGAGGCAGAGAAAATTGAGTTTAAGCGTCAAGGTTTTATTAACGGATGGACTAAATTAAGGTAAATGATGATCATTTGAGAACCCCATTTATATATTTAACTATATATATATTTTTTTATTCTTTAGATGCGACTCTATTGAAAAAATGCGTGCAGCTATACCTCGACTTCGACAATCATTGAAGGATGATAATACATTCAAGGAAATTTATCAATTTACGTTTAAATTTGGATTAAGCGAAAATCAAAAATCTTTGAGTGGGTGTTTCCATATTTTTTTTTGTGTATATATATATATATGATTTAATCTTTGTAATTGTATTTTTTAAGGTCTCGATGTGGCGATAGAATATTGGCGGATGTTGTTGAGTGATCGTTGGCCTCATCTTGATATATGGATAGAATTTGTTAAGGTGGGAATAAATCATTCAATCTTTGCGTATTTAAATTTATATAATTAACGTTCCATTAATCAGGAAAAACATGGCAAGTCGATTTCTAAGGATACTTGGAACTTGGTACAAATAATATTATTGATTTTAGTTATAATCTGCAAAATCTGTTATTAATTTATCAATCTTTCCTTTTTAGTTACTCGAATTTATCAAACAAATCAATCCTGAGCTTTCAAATTATGATTCTGAAGGTTTGTTTTAACTTTCTCTAAGGGTTGTATTTTAGTCTACGATTTTCTTATACAACATATTTTCTTTCTTCCTAGGTGCTTGGCCGGTCCTTATCGATGAATTTGTAGATTATGGTAGAGAAAAATTAGGATTGCCTGCGCCCTAAGAAGAGTATTAATTTTTAATACACGAATGTGCTTAAGTTCAATATTTCGTTCACACTTTCGTTGATTGGATGTAGAAATAGTATTGTATTATACGAGTAACAAATGCTCGCGATTAAATATTTACTTAACATATTTTTATCCAAATACTTTATCATCTTTTTATATAATTTTACAAATAGATAGCTCGTTTATTAGGTTATTTTGGAGTATTACGCTCCAAGTTAAACTACTTATTAGATTGTTTAAGATGATAATTGTAAATTATTCTGCGCATTTAAATTTTCGGAGTACAACATTCTTTTAAAAAAAAGAATCTTGGTTTAAAAAACAATTCATTTTGTGTTACTGCGGTCTTTCAATATAAAATGTACATTATAAATAATGATTAGTCACAAAGCCATGTGGACTTTAGTTTATCTGGGGCAACATGAAATTGGAATTTTAGAATTTAAAAATCAAGAACCAATCAAAACAATTTCCGCAAGCACTTTTCTAATTTTTTTTTTTTTTTGAAACATAATTTTTTAAATTGGATAACGTTAGTTTTTTTATTTCATAAATTCTTGCTTACGACCCAGAGATCTTTTTTAACGTTTGCCTTTAAGTTATAAATAAAATTTGATAAGAACGGTATGAATATAACAAACATGGGCACCACTGATGAAGGATGCAAAAGTCTCTACGTGGGTAACCTTGATCCGAGGGTAACTGATAACATGCTTCATGAGATCTTTGGCGTAGCAGGATCAGTAAACAATACGAAAATTATTCCTGATAAAAATGTGAGTTGACTTATCATCACGACAGGCCAGTACGAATATAAGGATAGAGGGGGTTTTTGCTGAAGCTTAATCTTGATCAGATTGGCAAAATTGCTTTTTTCTTGAAACGAGGGCTTTTGAAGCAAGTTCTTAATTGGAATAACCTAATGGCTGACCTGAGCTGGACACTCGAGTTGCGCATTTGACGCAGCTCAAAGGTTGGATTTCCTTTATCTTCCCTTAATATTTGTATTTCTTTCTTTAATTGTTTCTTTTTTTTTATTATTACTATTACTTCAATTCTCCTCTTCCTCTAGTTTTTTTTTTTTCATTATCTATTTTATTCTATTACATTTTAAATATTATATTATATTTTTTTTTTATTCTTTTTTCTTTTTTCTTTTTCTCTTTGTTAAATATCTACCTAACGTTTTGATCAAAGTTATATATGTACTTTTTTGCAGCTTTAGTTTTTGTGTGGGGCGACAGAGTGTAAAATACAAGACAGAGTACCGAGTTGGCTCGTATGCTGATCTCTTAATCTTAAAATTTAGAAATGTGGACGCCTTGCTTATTTAAACATTTCCATTGAATTATGATAACTGACAAAAAAATTTTAATTTTTTCGTTTTCTTTTATCGTCAGTATCAACATGGAGGTTTAAACTACGGATTTGTTGAATTTAATGACCATCGTTCTGCTGAACAGGCTCTTTCGACTCTTAACGGTCGAAAAATATACAACATGGTATTTGAATTTAATTTTATTCTTTTGCCTATATTCAATTAAACTTACTTCTCATGATTTTCCACTTTGTTTAAATTTTATTAGGAAATCAAAGTGAATTGGGCTTTCCAAGGACAACAAGGTCATAAAGAAGATACATCAAGTAAGTATTATCACTATTTATTTCCTATTGAGTGCTAATCGTGTTACGTTGCTGAACCCGTTTGTTTTTCCTTCATTTTCTTTTTATTTTTCTCTTTATTATTTCATTTTTTTTTTTTATTATTCGCGCTTTATTATTTATAATAAACTAAGATCATTACCACATCTTTGTTGGTGATTTGAGTCCTGAAGTTAACGATGAAGTGCTTGCCAAAGCTTTTAGTGCATTTGGAAGCATGTCGTAAGTAATTAAAATTACATCAAATCCTAATTATTTTATAATAATATTTATGTAAAACTTGTGACGCTTTTTCTCAGAGATGCTCGTGTCATGTGGGACGTTAACTCCGGCAAATCCCGAGGATATGGATTTGTAGCTTTCCGTGATAAAACCGTAAGTCTTGGAGATGACCACCGTTAATGGATTGTCGATTGTAGCGGTTAAGATACTTTTTGACGAAAATGATTGCGAATTTAAATGAAATTTCTTTTTTATGCATAAATTTAAATACTTATAATTTTATCCTATTTTATAGGACGCTGAACAAGCTATCGCAACAATGAATGGTGTGTGGGGATATCTCGTAATTTATTTAGTTTATATCAGAAGGCAAGTATTAATCTTATTGTACCTTTTTCATACAGGCGAATGGCTTGGAAGTCGTGCAATCCGATGCAACTGGGCCAACCAAAAAGGTCAACCGGGTCCTGGGAGTACAACATCAGAACGACAAGGTAGCATATCGTAATTTTGTTAATTAATATTTTTGTCAATTGTTAATATTGGAGCATTCGTACGAATTAGCAGGAAACTCTACGCAAGCGCCACAATTATCGTACGAAATCGTTGTTGCGCAAACTCCTCACTACAATAGTACAGTATACGTTGGTAATTTAACGCCTTCTACTACACGTAAGTTTTTAAGCAAATTATTTGGTTTATTATGAATTTAAATTGATCTAATTTTTTTTTCGCTTTACTTTAGAGGAACATTTGATGCCATATTTCCAGCAATTCGGATATATTATTGAGGTTCGCATGCAAGCAGATCGTGGCTTCGCATTCGTAAAGTAGGCTATTGCTTTTTTTTATATGTTAATATCTTTTGAAAGTTTCACTTTAAATAACTTTATATCTATATTTTAGACTAGATACACACGAAAACGCGGCCAGTGCAATTGTAAATCTCCAAAATACAAATATCAACGGTAGAATCATTAAGGTAACATTAATGTTAAAACAAGAGTATTTAATTCATAATTAATACATAAAATTAATCCAGTTTCATAATTTAGTGCTCCTGGGGAAAAGATAGAGCTCCGGAACAGTCAACTGCTGCTACCTATCATACTTATAACGTGCCAGGTACAGCTTACAATTATAGTCCATATGGGTATTATGGCAATCACGCAGCTCATCATTATGCAACACCAGAAACTGGTTATGATCTTCCACCTGGTATGTCTGCTCCACCACAATCTCTAGCATCTATTGATGGAGCAACTGCTGCAGCAGTAGCTGCAGGTCAACATGCCACTGCCGGTTGGGAGCAATATTACAATAATGGAACTTATGATGCATACGGACAATATTATTACGGTTATGGTACTCAAGCCGCCGGCACAGGAGCTCCTGGCGCTCCGGGAATGGCGACACCAACTTCCCCACACACGGTTCCTGGCGGCCATCCGCCTTCGGTAGGACCATCAGGTGGAAGTGCTTATAATAGTAATTAAAAGGTAAACTTATTGAGAAAAAAATAAGTTATGTAGAATCAATGATAAGAATTTAATTATTGAGTCTTATGAGCAAAATTTTCTCCCTATTTGTTAATCCTTTTATTTCTTTCTCTTTTTTCTCTTTTGCAATATAATATATATTCCTCATTCACAAAAGAAACGCTTTCGATAAATAGCATATATGTTATAGTTAAGCCAAATCTTTTTTTTATTAAATAAGTTTGCAATGTTTTTTTTTTAATTTTATAGTTTCACCAAGTTATTAATTTTTATTGACCTTATTTTTTTGATTATTATTTATATTTACCTTTGCAAATAATGAACTATTCAATCATACATAACACAGATAATACATTTTTATATATTATCAGTTTTTATTATTTTCAAACACCTTTTAACAAAAAAAAAATTATATATATATATATATATATATACACATATATGTATTATTTCTTACATACTAGTTAACTTGTTTTACTTTCAATTAAAAGTCAAAAAAAAAAATAAGGATGAATCACTTAATTTTTTTTTGTTTCGAGCCATTTATTTTTTTCGTTTTTGATATGAAATAGAAATAAAAATCTTTAGCCTGATCAAATTGGTATTTACGAAAGTATTCCACGATAAATTTTTTACTTCAAATAATTTTTCATAAATTACTTTCAACACAATTGATTTTGAATGTGGAAAAAAGAAATAAGTAAAATTACAGTAATAAGCTAAAATAAATAAATATATTGTTTGTTAATATCGTATAAGTTCAAAAAATAATTATCAAGTTACTAAATAGCGCATAATATCAGATAAAGAAACAATTCCTTGTAATCTGTTTTCAGAATCTACAACTATCAAACGATGTACTTGAGCTTTTTTAATTAAATCGAATATTGAGTGAAGTGTATCACTTAATGTACAAGTATGAACTCCAGGAAAATCCTATAAAAAATGGTAACATAAATAATTAAGAAAAGAAGAAGAAATTAAAGTTTAAATTTAAAGATACCTCGGATCGACGTAATAATGCTTTGACAACTGGAAGATCCATCTCACGGTATGACCCAGTTCGGATCAAAGTCTATTAATTAAAACATTAAACCAAGTCAGATATAGTAAGAACATTTACGTAAAATAATTTATTTAATTATTTACCATTACATCAACTGAATCATATACATTTAATACCTTATCTAATAAAAAAATCAAATGCATTAGTTAAAAATTAAATAAAATTTTAAAAATTTTATTTTGATTACCATCTTCGTCAATTATAGGAACTGATGATATTCGACGTTCAACAAGAAGATTTACAATTTCAATAACAGGTGTAGACATTCGTGCAGTAGCAATATTTTCATAAACACCAATCTTAATCTCCGATAGTGGTTTTTTTAACGTTTTAATATCTATACACTAAAATATAAAAATATAATCATAAAAAACGCGTGAATGTCATGTATCATATGGTAACTTATAAAACAAACTTAAAACTTACATTCATTGCAATAAATTTCAATATTCTGTATTGAGTTAATACGGATACAATCATTTCTTGACCGGTTTCAGAATCTACATCAACTAATGGTAATCGGTGTGCACGTGCTTCTACTAATAATTTACATGCTTCATATAATGATTTGAGAGGATGTATTGACAATAGTTGTGGTGGTGGTGCCCCGACGCGACTTTCAACATCTAATTAATAAAATTTTATCATAAATTTCATTAAATTTCACGCGTTATTTTTTTTATTATTATTATTATAATTACAGTTACCTCTTAATTGTTGAATTTGAAATTGTTCAATTTCTTCCATAGCAGCGGAATAAGAAGAATGTTTATAATATTGTATTAAATTTATAAAATCTGATACAGTTAACATTCCAGCAAATTTTTGATTTGTTGAATCCCATAACGGTGCCGATACGACTCCTAATTATTAAAAAATTTCATTTTTATGGTATCAATTGAAAATAACTATTTTATTTTTTATTCATTATAAAGAAAATGAAACTTAGAACAAGTCCATTTTTAGTGTTATCAACAAAAAAGAAAGAAACAAACTAGAAATACCATTTTGCATTAAAGCAGCAAGAGCTTTTTTAACAAGTAAACTTGTATCCAAAACAATTACTCTATAACTAACAGGTAATACATCATAAGAAGAATGTTGCTTTAAAAAATTACAAACAAGTCTCTTTGAAGTATTGTTCGTTCCACTATTTGAGTCTAAACTACTTGTTCGTGGTTTATCGTTTGTTGAAAAAATATTTTGCGTAATGCTTTGAAATTGTGTAAAATTTATTCCTGAATATGACGCTGGTCCATCATAATCTCTTGGTGTTAAGTTTGGTGTATTAAGATAATTTTTTTCATTCATGGGAGAAGTAGAAATTGGTAATGAAAATTATAAAGTTACAAAATTAACAGATTTTCCCGCAGATTTTTCACATGGTATGTGTGTATACATATATAACAGAAAACGTCATTTTTTTTTCCCCGATCTAATTTCGATTTAGATTCTTACAAAAAATTATGTCTCAAAAAAATTCCAGCACAACTACAAAAGAAACTAGTATTATTCCTATTGTTCATGCTGAAGCTCCAGTTGAAGAACCTGAGAATACTGAGGAAACACCCGAAGAACCCGAAGATCCAAAACCAAAGATTGTAGAAGGTAATTCAAAATTTAAAATGAAAAATAAATGAAAAAATTCAACCAAGTTAATTACTTAAATTCAATTAGAATGTGGTGAAACTTCTGCTTGCAAACCCTTAAAACATCACCTTGAAGAATGCACTCGTCGTGTTGAAGAAAGCGGAACTGGCGAAAATTGTAAGTTTTATTTATTTTTACTTATTCACTAAATAATAATGATAAATTCACTTTATATACTTTATATTTTATTCAATTAAATAAAATAGGCGCCGAAGAATTTTTACATTTTATGCATTGTGTAGACCATTGCGTAAGTTCAATGACCTTCGTTTATTTAAAAACTTCAAATTTTGTCTTCTAATCTTTCTTTTTTTATAATAAATAGGCTGCGCCAAAAATTTTTGCGGTATTAAAATAATATAAAATACTGAATTAAAAAAGAAATTTGCTTATTTCGATTATTTTAACTAATTTAACAAAAATAAAAAATTATTTTTTTTGAAAATATTTTGACGATGTAAACCTTTGCTTGTTCATTAGTGCTGAACCGACATTAATTTCATAGAATTAAAATTAAACCAAGATCTGCAAACCAAAATGAGATTCGAAATTATTGTTACACGCTTTTTTCTCATTTTACATTGTTGAGGTATTTACTGTATTTACTTCAAAGAGATATCATAATGCAATAAATATATTTAACAAAGAAATAACAAACAACGTTTCACCAATTAAAACGTAGTTTCAAAACAAATGACTTATGAGAATGTCGCGCCATATTTATTTGATCTTAAATTATCTTGTGGTAAATTGTTTAAATTGGAAATAATGTTATTAAATACATTCACATTCTCAATAAACCAAATTGACTTATAAATTATAAATCAATTTTTTAATTTAATTTTTTGAGGGGGATACAAATAATTAAAATATTAGTAATGTTAATAAATTTTGATTGAAAGTTAAATGTTTATAAATTAATTGGTCGCGCCTGTAAAATTCTATTTAAATGTTGCAATTTTTCCTGAATCATAAAATAAAATTCGAAGAAAACAAAAAAAAAATCAAAAAAAAAATTATCTCGCTATGATCCAAATTCACAATTTACCTCTTCCCGTAGTACCTCATGACTTCGTCGCTAAAGGTAAAACCAAAAAGAAAGAAAAGAAACCTAGTACATTTGATGTATATAGACTTGCGTGTACTAGGACAATGCAATTTTTTAGCATTGATGTTCAGAATCCCGCAGTATTTATTAGTAAATCTTTCTATAAAGATGATGAACATATTAAAAGAAGTTGTCAATTAATTGCGATCGAAGCGTACAACATAATGAAATCGGATCATTCACTTGAAATTTGATGACGGACATCAGAATCAACTTTTTTTTGTATACTACTAAAAAGATTTGAATAATAGAAATATATATATATACGGTATACGGTATATTAAAGATATTGCCTTTTTTCTTCCAAGAAAACTATGAAAATAACATGCTTAATATTGGTTTTAAAATTACGAATATAAATGTATGCTATTTAAATTATGACACATATGAATTTAGGTTATGTTTAGTTAGCTTATATACCTATGATAGTTAGTTGTCACTTTAGATGTTATGGCGCAGTAAATCGATTAATACCAATCAAATTATCAAATTAGGATACATCATATCAAATAACAAAAATTAAAAAATTAAAGGCTAGGATTTAACTTCAAATAAGAACAAATAATATAAATAATTGAGAAAAACAAATTAATTGTTATAGTAATCAGTTATTTCTAGTAAAATATAATTATCAATATTAATAAAAAATTTATTATAATTATTGCATAAATAACTTATTTAATAGTAAATCAAAAGCAATATATCATATCGGCTGATCAGAAAAGCCTCCCATAATTTTATATGCTAAATGACAATAAGTAACCCATCAGTTATATAATGAACCCATCAACTGAGCTTAAATATTAATTGGCTTGATTTTTCCAATCAGCCGATATGTTATATTTAATTAAAATATAATAAAAGAGATATAAAAATTTTCTAAAAAAAAGCAAATTTTGCATATACTATTTTAACAAAATTTTATTGATTATTTAATTAATAATATAATAAAATTCTGATTAGTAAATTAAAATTATTTTTTTAAAAAACAAAAAACCCTTTAGATAGTTTCTTAAAAGTATTATTAAATCAATAAATCCTATAAAAACTATAATCAAATTAAAAGTATATCAAAATTTGCAAAAGAAATTTTAGATTTCATAAAAAAAAAATTTTAAAGCATAAAATTTTAAATTATTTTGATAAGTAATTATAATATAATATAATATATTAGTATTTACTTATTAAATATTACCTATTTAAATTTAACTATTTTAAACTAAAATTAGTAATTTTTTAGCTATCTATATAAAGCTAAAAAATAAGATTTCCAGTCATTTATAAACTTAGCTAATTACTAGTATAAAGATCATGAGTTTATGACATTTAGTATGATAGGAAATTATATTTTAATTTTTAAAAAAAATATTAAACTACTAAAGTATTAAACTATAATAAATATAATATCAAATAGCTAGTAATATTTTATAATTTATTTTTTTTTTTGGAAAATCGCAGATAAAAATAAAAAGCTTTAATTTAAAAATTGAATTTATTGTAAAAAAAAAAATTCTCATAATTTTAATATATAAAATTAAGTTTTACTAGTTCTTTACATGAGTCAGCTTAAGTGAGCTATAGTCTGGTTTAACTCAATTTGAAGATCTGCATCAAGTTAAGCCTGAAATAAACTAAATTACAAAAAATCTTAATTCAGCTCAGTTTAAGCCAAGTTGAACCATAAAAATCCTGGTTTAAGCTAAGCTAAGTTCAAGCTAACTTAAGTTAGCTTGAATTTTATCATAAAAAAATGTTTTCATAACATTTTTCTTTAAATTATTTTTTTAATTTAATGTAAAAATAATGTTTTGCAACATTTTTCTTTAAATTATTTTTTTAATTTAATGTAAAAATAATGTTTTGCAACATTTTTACATTAAATTATTAAAAAAATGTTGCAAAATATTATTTTTTAATTAAATTAATGTAGTGGAATACTACCATATAATATAATATTATATTATATGGTGGTATTCCACTTACCCTAGATTATAATATCACCATATAATCTAAATATCACTATATAATCTAAATATCACTATATAATCTAAATACCACTATATAATTTAAATACCACTATATAATCTAAATACCACTCTATAATATAACTACCACTATATAATCTAAATAATATAATTTGAATACCAAATAATATAATCTAAATATCATCATATAATCTATTTATTTTTGTGTATTGGATATCTATTTTATATTCTAGCTATCCCTTTAACTTTTTCTGCTATTCATTATTTTACTATCATATAATCTAACTACCACTCACTATTTAATTTAATTCCCACCATATAATCTAAATATCATGTTTTTCTTCTTATTTTAGAATCTTTTGCATACCAATTATTATATACTTAAATTATACTTAAATGATATTTAATTTTTGCCTATTTCAGTATATTTTAAGTATAAAATAAAATTTTAAGTTTATTTTAAGTATATTTTAGCAAAAATATTTTTTATAGGGAAAGAACTAAGACGACGGTAAAATATTGAAGTTTAATTTTTTATCTGTAAATTATTTGATCATCTAAATTATATTATTAATTGGTGTAACTTGGCGTAACTATATGCAAATCTTATGATCAACTATGCCAAAACTACAGAAAAACCTATTATAAAGGTTTTGGCATGTTTCAGCAGTTTCACAATTTTGACAGGTTTCGCAGTTTTGGCATTTGGCGTTTTGGCACTATATAAAAGGTTTCACCTTTCGGCATTAGGCCAACAGGTTTCGGCAAGCAACTTTAAATGTGCAAGTAGTAAAAATGGAGAAAGGGCAAATTTTGGTGGATTTGAAGATATATCCAATTGGTTTAAAATGCGAGATCCAGAAGAGCATCGGCATAATGCCATATTCTAGAAACATAAACTAACTAAAGAAGATAGGAAATAGCACGTCAGGGCTACCCATGTAAGGTGGTCTGAAATGCTTAGATTACCCTATCATAATCCAATCAGGCATCTGATCATAAATTCGATGCATTGCTTATTTCTGGAAATTGCCTATTGGATCGTTAAAAAAATATGGATTGATGGTGGGAAACTTACTAAATCTCATCTAGAAATAATGGAATCTCATGCAAAACAAATTAAAATCCCAGCTGATTTAGGAAGAATTCCTTCTAAAATATCAACTGGAGAGGGATTCTCTGGATTTACAGCCGATCAATGGAGGTCATTTATATTAATTTATACGACTCTATTGATATGAGATTTATTAGACAATCCTGATCAGAAGATTTTGGCTAATTTTGTTAGGGCATGTTACTTGCTGGTATCATGCATTATTGATGAAAACAAATTAACTGAAGCACATAGTAACTGATTATTAAAGGTTGCTCAGTTAATTGAAAACATTTATGGACCAGAAATGATTACACCAAATATTCATCTGTCTCTTCACATTTCAGAATACTGTTGGAACTATGGTTCTTTATATTCATTTTGGTGTTATTCATTTGAACGAATGAAATGGACTATTAGGTAAATAATTAAGAACTGGTGACTGGGTCATATTGATTAAATATATACTAATTTCATTTTATTATTAAGGATCATTTCCAAATTCTCACCGCCAAATTGAACCAGAATTATTGAGGATTATTATGCAAAATTGGCGGTTGGATGACCTAATATCCAATCAATTAAATAATTTAAAATTAGTTGAAGGATTAAAATTGGTAAAATCCCGACCAACAACAGGAAGTTTATCAGCATATGATAATTTTGAATGTGATGAATTGTACTGATTTAGATTAATTTATAGCCTTGAAGTTAAAGATACAATAACTGGTAGTGAACAGTTTCCTAGAGAGATGATGACACCAAGAAAACATGATGTGATTCTGCCAAATGATATATATAACCTTTTGGTAGATTATTACAATAATGTATATGATTTAGAATTTGTTACTATAGCTGATTCAATAGAAAGCAGATTACAATAATTCAGACGTCCAATTGTTGTTCGGCCAATCATTAATCAGTATGGACGTATTTGAATTAGTACTGAAATTTTTGGATCAGCAAATACGCCTCATTTTTATAAAAATTCATTTATTCTTGTAAAATTTGTTCAAGATAATAATGTAGCTGATGTGTTTCCTGGACAAGTGCAGTATTACCTTGAATATGAAGTCAATCTTCCAAGTGGTAAACAACTCCATAAATTAGCCTTTGTTAAATGGTATTTACCAGCACCTAACTATCAAAAAAGGTTTTATTGTCAGATTGAAATGATATTAATATTTGTAATATAGAGCTTTGGAAAAATAAGTTTTATGAAATTGGCAGGGATAGTATTATACCAATTCATCATATTTATAGCCGATTTATACCTAGTAAATTTATAGTAGGTCAAAGGAATCCTGTTACATTTATGGCTGTAATTCCAATCAACAGGCATTTTCATTTATAATTTTTTATAATCACACTTTATTAATTATTAATTAATCGAATAATAAAAAAAATTATTTGAACCTTTTTATTTATTGAAAAATAATAATATAAAAATTACTATTTTAAATAATCAGAATTTAAATGTGAAATTTTTTGTAATTTAGCTTTGGGATTCAAATAGGTAAGTCTTTTTTTCTTTTTTTTTTCTTTTTTTTTTTCACTTCTATTTTCCTTTCTTTTGTAACTTGTTCTTTTCTTTTTTAGGCGTAACTGTTTTCAGTTTTCATTTCAGCAGAAATTCAAAGTAAGTCTTTTTCATTCAGTTATTTTAGATTTATTTGCTGATTGCTTTAAGACAATATTAACCAGTTCTTTTTTTTCTTTTTTTATGGGTGGATATTTTAATTCTTCCTTTATTTTTTCACTTATTTTTTCCTTTTATTTATTTTCATGTCCCTTT